TGAGCCTGGTTTTATCCCCTTCCCCCTTCAAACCTAGTTTAAAGCCCTCTCAATGAGCCCCGCCAATTCATGGCAATGATCCTCTTCCCCCTCCCAGTGAGACAGCTGAACTCCATCTGTCTTCAGCAGGCCTGGTGTCATGTAAACCTCCCCATGATCAAAAAAGCCAAAATTCCTCCGATGGCACCAGCCCCTGAGCCACGCGTTGATCAGGTGTGTTTTCCTGTTCCGAGAGCCAGCCTGTGAGTGGGATTCCTTGTACGTTAAAATGCTGTGTGGCAGGAACGAGAAAGACATTGGCCCTAACTTGAAATTTCCTTTGTTTGCTCTGTAAACTGTGAGGATAATACTGAAATTATGTTAAGATCTGGGGATGAAAGATACTAAGGCTCAGGTATACCACACTTAGCTGAGGGGCTTAGATGTAGAGTGATATATCTCAGGCGCTATGCATTCAGGACAGACAGATAAGTACCTGCAAAGACTGGCCTGTATTTTAGGGAGAACGATTATGTCCTTTTAAAAGTACCACATGTTGGCCATGAATTTACTGAGCTTTAATACTCAGCCTCAAAAATCATATAATGGTATTTATCGGTAATGGGAGTAAATAACTGTATTTGACATTTGCTTTTGTATAGTCAGTAGTTATTTTTTCTTTTTTTTTCCCTAAAGTGATTTTATTGTTGATTTTCAGGGTCTAGAGATCATGTCTGAAAGTTTTCTTGGTGACTTTTTGTTTTATCTTTTAGATTGATGTGATTGTGGCTTTGGGCGGACTTGGAGGACGCTTTGACCAAACAATGGCATCAGTGGAAACACTTTTTCATGCAACAAACATCACTCCTTTTCCAGTGATAGTGATCCAGGAGTGCTCGCTGATTTACCTGCTTCAACCTGTAAGTGTTTTGAAAAGTTACTTCATAATAAAACTGACCTTCCACCCACCCTGACCCTGTAGGTCTTGCACCATTAAATGCTCATTTTCTTAATTGTATTCTGTAGGGTCAGAGTCTAGATATAAAATATATTGCAGGGAAGTGGACAGCAAATGATGGGCTCTGCATTCCTGCCTTGGAAAAGATTGTGCTTAATTTGTTCAGAATAGATTTGTTTAAAAGGGGAGGAACATAGAAATCCATAAAGTATGAAAACTGAATTTGGGTAAATAGAGGATTTTGATGATAAATTAGAAAAAAAAAATTAAACTTTTTAATTAGATTCCAGTAAGTTTAAATTTAGCACACAGCCCTTTTGCATGTTGAGTAGCAATGAGGATGTCTGCAGTAAGAGAAACAAAAGAAAGATGTAAGAGGAAGATATGAGGGAGTTCCTGACAAACACGTCGGGCAGAGCTCTTATGTGGTCTGAGTGATACAGTTCATTATGATGGGAATCCAGCTAGCATCAACGAGGGAATTTATTTAAGATGTGTTATTTTTGTGGTTTTTCAGGTCGTTATTCCATTTATTGATTCATAAAACAACACACACAAAAGATCTTGCTGGGCTTGTGCTTCTGAGATTTAAATTAAAGGCAGATCTAAGCATCAAAGAGTCTTCTAACAGTGATTCATTTATTTGTTTGGAAATATCTTTTCCTGATGTCAGGGTTTCTAGAAGCTTAACTAACTTTCCCATTTTATCTTGGAAAGCTTATTTCATTAAAATAAATAACATTCACAGATAAATTTGACAAAACCCAGCACCACACATGCTTCATTGTAATTCGAGAAAAGCATTAATAAGGTTCTATGAGATTGTAGATTTAAATCCACAGGGGCAGATGCTGTATTAACAACTTTGAAGCACTGTGTCTGCAGGAAAGATAGTAGGCACAGGAGCTTATTTGCCAGTGTGACGAGGAATGACTGATCATTAGTTGCACAGCTAAATGGATAGAGGCAGCAGAGTGAGGGGGAAAGAGGGCTAAAGGATAACTAGTTAAAATCTGAAAGTGAGGAGTAACTCGCTTGTGATTACCTGTGGGTGCAATACTTCACTGACCACTGTAAATTAATCTTAGGAAATTTTTAAGAATATATTGAAAAGCTGAAATAAGATGGAGAATTCCCATACAAAACACTTACTTGGACTGGAAGGACTTTTAGTTCTTTTAATTCATCTTTTCCGTAAGTGGCTTGCCTGAGGTTGCTTTCAGAAGAGTCTTCAATGAATAATTAAACCCTTTGCAACTTGAAAAAAAAAAATCATAATCTCTGCATTTCAATAGACAGGAGAGGTCACTAATTGTTTGGGCTTGCTGGAAACTTCTTTATGTTCTGGTTTTAATAATGCCGTACGAGAAGCATGTAATACTTTTTTGTTGGTGGGGAGAGTTCCATAGGATATTTTTTTTTCTGCCGTTCCTGGCTGTCAGTCTGCATTGCCAGTACCTGACTTCTGTAACTTCAGGCTGTGTCTAGCGTTCAGAAATAAAGGGCAGATATAGGGGGCAGGCCATTTAAACAATCTTCATGCTAACTTTGACACAAAATTGCTTTTCATTGTTGGTTTAAACTTGTCACTGTCAGCATCTTCAGTCAACTGTCATGGTACCTCCAGATAGTAATATTAATCCTACATAGTTTAGGTAAAAATCGAGTGAGTAGTTTATACACAGAAAGAAACAAGGATCCTAAGCTTGAAAGTACCCTTTTTTTTGTACAGAGTTCAGCGTGATATTTTCTCTTGTAAACAGCCACAATTATGGCATTCTCTCTTTTTTCCCCTCTCCCCTTTGTAATTTAAAATCAAGGTAGGAGGGAGTTGAACACAGTGGGAGACCCACTGACTTTTTGAAATGCAAGTCTGGAAACTGTGCAACAAATGAAGCAAGGTTTTGAGATTCAAATGCTAATGGAAATTATAAAGTTAATAGCATCATGCTTTTTCTATAAAATGTAGCTCTGAAAACTTTCTCTCTTGGGGAAAAAGAATCTGATCTTTATTGGATTCTTTGGATAAAATATATGAGCAAAATATAACCATATTTTTGCTTCAAAATAACATTAGCCCTCCACTCACTATAGCCAGAGACTAGTATTGGTTCTCTATCGTGTGTACCTAGGCAGAGGCTAAAATCTTTGGATAGAGCAGAGAAACTGGTAATCCCATAAACAGCCCTAGGAAGGATACAAAGGGGAATAACAAGTCAAGCTGCTGAATTTTTAGTTAGTAATGCAGAAACTAAGAGGAGGACTGTGTGAGTAGATCTGTAAGTACACCATAAAATCTATTAAGTAATTGCTTTGAAAGAGTTATTTCACATTATTACAATGTTGATACAGAGGGGTACAGCAGAAGAAATATATCAATATTTAACACACTTGTAAAGGTCCACAGTGTTGTAGGAAACAGGCTTATAGACTTGCTAGAAGTCTTCAGGGTGACAGAGGAAGACAGCAAGGACAATGCCCAATTTGGAATCCACTGCAGACTACCAAGCAAGGAGGACCAAGTAAACAAAGCCTTTTTTCATGAGTCAATAAAATTATCCAAGTACTGAATGTAAGGACAATTGGCATTTTGAGTACTGAGGCCTCTCTTGGGAAATAGACGGACAGACAGTGCAAGTTTTTGAAATATATTGGGAAAAATGTTTGGCATGGAAAGTGAAGAAAACTACAAGGAAGTAAACTCTTTTATAGTCATTTCTGACCTGTAAGGATGAACTATGTTGAGAGGTGGAGAAGAGAAAAAAGATGGGACGAATTACACCCCATAAATGTCTGTCTCCATGGACTCTATGGAGAAATTGGGTGGTAGGCTGAGATCTAGGTATACGCTGTAGGTATCTAAATTTAGATAAATGAATTCCAATATAGGTCAAATTACTAAACAGGTACTTAAGAAAAGAAAGCAGGCATGAAATTAGGTGCACCTATGGAAGGGCCCAAGCGATGAGAACATAGTCTGTAACTACAGACATTGCTCTCAGATTTTCTTTCATCTGAGTGGGAAAGGAAAACTGATAACAAACAGCCTAAATTTAATGCATCTTTTGCTCAGTCTTCACTAAAGCAAAATATTCCTTTGAGCAGATAACCAACACAGTTAATATCAGTGCCAAAGTCCGAAGACTTTAAATTGCCTCAGAGAAAAAGCAAATAAGAGATTGAGGTGCCTTTGATTTTTGCCAGCTCCAAGGGTTGTTAGTTTTTGTGTGCCATGCAACACTAATTAGGATAGGAGTCAGAAACAGGGAGACTTGTGTAAGAATTCCAGGAGGTAATGCTTGCTCTGAAGCATTTTCTAATGTGATGATTGGAATTTTAAAAAGAAAAAAGAAGAAAAAAAAAAAAGAAAGAAAAAGTATCTCTGTACTGAATAGTCATCGTATTTCTTTCTGAAGTGGGGGGGAGGGAGGAAAGCCTGAATTCTTAATAAGGAGTAATCACTCTTTATAAGCAGGATATTTTATGCAACAGTCCGTACATTTTATGCTTGAAATTTTGGTAATATCAATTACCATTAGAATATAGCCTGGCTGAAGAGCATTAGGCCCTTAGAGTCATGTTTATCATGCTATCCATGCTCAGTATGAATGGCTTAAGGTTTCACATACATACTTTCTCATTTTCTGTTAGTGTGCTGCTCAGGAGTACAGAAACATTAGCTTCTGTACACTGAGCATAAATTATCTTTTATCTGTGAGTTTTATGAAAGTTTGTAATACAAGGTAATAGGATTTATGACCAGGAGATGAGAAGATGTCCAAGAGTTAATGAGGCCTGTCTTTTACATTATACTGAGCAGTTCAGTGTTCCCCACACAGGATTCCAGCCCTGGGATGTAGGGGAGAAGAACTGCTACCTATACATGAAAATGTGTTACAGCAGCATATTTTTGTCAGTTAGCTAACTCTTTGAAAGAGTGCGTTAATACTTCGATAACCCTTTTTCTTGCACACAGCTTTTCTTGTGAGTGCCTGCCTGCCTTCCCTGTGAGAAATGATGAATAATTTAACAACAGAGACAGTAGTCCAGCAGCAAAATATGAGCACTAAGAATCAGGAGTCCCATCCCTTATTCTTGGGTCTTTACTACCGTTTCATTGAAGAGGAGTAAATTGTATAGGCTTTTGATCTCATAGTCTCCTAGTTTGTAAATTGGATAAAACCCACGTCTTTCTCTGAATGGGTACTGTGAGGCTCGTTTAGTTTTTTACAAAATGCCATTACATTCTCAGCTCTGCACCGAGGTGGAACATAGTATGATGGTAATAGTAACAACAGTATTAGTAAGGCCCTTAATTAACATGAATATTGCCATACAGTAGACTGTGCAGCTAATTAGTTAGCATGGTCCCAAGCACAGTTTTAGTGGGAGCCAGCTATCATTCTTGCAGACAGTGCCTGGGCACAGTTTGGGGTTAGCACAGGCCAGTAACTGCTTACTAAGCGTTTGGAGGGTACCACTTTGTCTTGGGGACAAGAGAGAACAGGATATGCATATGAGCAGTGCTGTGCCTACTGGCTTGAGGTCCGGAGAGTATTACCTGAACCGTTTTACAGATGCAGAGAGAGTGACTAGGCATGGAGATCTGCTCCTAGATGGGGACACTGCAATAGATGTAAGTGAGGGAAGTACAAGACTGGAAACTTCACTGGAGTTTGTTGCTGCAATTCTCTATGCCAATGTTATTTGATTTGGTTTGTTTCCATGCTTGTAAAGTTTAATGGGAAGTGCAGGGTATATACCTTCAACTTCTGAGTTTTCTTCTGGATCCAGTTCCTTGAATTTTGCAGGAACTTCAAGAATTAGTTGTCAGATCAGTTCTGTACAGCCTCATACACGTAAGAAGCAGATCTGACTTGCACTGGCACTCAGTGGAAAAAATCCTTAGTGAGTGTGCCTCTTCTGGAGGATGACTTTGGAATTTGGAGATTTGGGGATAAC